TGTTCTCATTGCATTCGATTCACAGATCATCCATGCCAAAACCACCAAACCATAATAATGTCCGTGTTCTCATTACATTCGATTCACAGAGCATCCATGCCCAAACCATGATAATATCCGTGTTCTAATTGCATTCGATTCACAGAGCATCCATGCCAAAACCACCAAACCATAATAATGTCCGTGTTCTCATTGCATTCGATTCGCAGAGCATCCATGCCCAAACCATTATAACGTCCGCGTTCTCATTGCATTCGATTCACAGAGCATCCATGCCCAAACCATAGTAACGTCCGTGTTCCAACAGCATACGGTGACTAGAGCATCCATGCCCAAACCATAATAACGTCCGTGTTCAAATTTGCATTCGATTCACAGCGCATTCATGCCAAAACCACCAAACCATAATAATATCCGTGTTCTCATTGCATTGGATTCACGGAGCATACGTCCGCTTCTTGTTCCGATTTCCTGGGTTTCTCTGCGCATATAAGGTTGTTCTTTTGGAACTTCATGGGCAAGCAGCTGGCAGCGCGTGCAAACGGCAGGTGAAAACATGTTCGTGCAGAGGTACTTTTCGCTGCGCACCAGAATCCAAAACGCAGTACATCGCGTACATCACAAGCAGGAATACTGGAAATACCAGTCACTTTGGCTCATGCCTTTCACCTACACTTTTTGGACATGCGCTCGAAACCACCATGAAAGGCATTTTTTCATTTACACCTCCCAAGTCCGACGTGCTGAAACTGCGCGGTCGCTAACCACGATGGTAACAGGTTTCTGGATGCAATGTAAGCTCCGCACCTATCTGATGAGGGTTTGGTCAAAGCCAAAGCTAACCGTACGACATCACATCAACACCTCACCTCAGGTCAACCTGCTGTCGCACCTCGGGGCCCTTGAGCTTGAGCTCCTCCACGAACTCATCAAAAAGCCTGAGCTTAGCAGCAGGGGCTGAGGGAAGCTTCGCGGAACGGGGGCGTGTCACCTCCGTCGACAGTGGAATAGCTCTGTACGGTGACTAAAGAGTGGTTGAAGTTGATTGTGTGGGCCAGATTACCATGGGGTGCACTAATCATGGCAGCGAGACCTGAAGTTTGGCGTCGCATCCACTGCCATCCCTTTCTTGACTAGAGCGTACGTACATGTACATGCACATGTACATGCGCAATGTAGCTACAGCATGCTACAGCGGTGGCAGCTGTAGATGTGCCCGTGCATACTTCACCTCGCCTTCCGACTAACAGGCATGCGGAACAAACAGATCAGGATCCGGTTGTTTTCACCCAAATTCTGAAAGCCTTCACGCCCCACGCTGCCCCACCCTAATTTCGGCACCCCAAGAAATTGATCTACCACCCCATCCGACCCCCCAACCCGACCCCCACCCCTCCCCACTTCCCTTGGTTCATCATCCTGCCATCCAAGATTCGTCCTCTTTTTGAAATGTTTAAGAGTCATGCCTTCAATGAAAGATTGTTTACTGCCTGGGCATAGAAGACCATTAGAAGTGCGGGGGACTCTTATGTGGGGCACCACCTTAGGCCCATCTTGGGGGAGGGTAGACGAAGCCATAGTCAGAATGATTTACGCGCCAGGTCCCACGAACTTTACAGCATGGGCTCTCAAAAGCAAAGGTTGTAGGGTGGGTCTAGGGGTGAATGAGAGGGACAATATGGGCGTCACTCTCACCATAATCCTTCGAGCCTTTGGGATAACACCTTGAAATGGCTGCTCACTCTATGGCCTTTCTGGACTTCCCGATTTGAGTTCTGCGCGGGCTGCCTCTTGTTTAAGCAAGTGCTAAGGTGCGGGTATGGTTTCCAGTCAGGCTTACTGCTGTCAAGGCGGCTTCTTGCATGAAGAGTTTTTACAACACTATGATTCAAAATGCTACAAATTTGATTTCCTGAGAATGAATGTATCTCATGACCGGTTTGCACTCAATGTCTGACACTTCAACGAAAGCTCCAGCCTGTAACTGAAGCCTACTGTACATCAGGAAACCAGGATCCCAGAACAGTGATACGGCGCCGGCAAGAAAGTTGCAGCTAGTGTCAGTGAAGAGCAAAGGGATCACCAAGCTCCCATCTCACATGAAGCAGGATCTGACACTTGTAATCTGGGCTAAGTACCTGGCTTTGAGGGGATTTTCATTTTGATTTTTCTGAGGAATGGCTTGCTCGTGGTACGGACAGTCGGGTTGTGGCATCGGGATTCTGTTTCTTAGTAGGAACCCTTTCCCCCTCCACTCTAGCCACCAAGGCTATAATGCACACACAGACACACACTCACACATATCACAGGCAACATGTTCACGATGGGGCTGGCTAGCCAAGGCACTCCATGGCTGTCGCACCCTCGCCCTCACGGAGCCCGGCCATGCGCTGATCCCCAGATGCCTGAAGCATCTCCTGCGAACGGACAGTTGGAAGGCCAAACCAAATTGGAACACCCTTTCCTCATTTGTTTTGGCTACTAAGGATTTCGTCCTCACTTTTGTAAAGGTTCCGGGCTCGTCCTCAACAATGAACATACAGAAAAGACCTCAAAACACCGTAAGCTTCCGCTAACCGCGATCTATGCTACTTAATCCCATAATCCGAAATTACCTTGATCATCCCAGGATGAATTTCTGGGCTTACGTTCTGGCAGGTCGACATTCCAAAGCAGCCTCTAGCTGGGCCCAGCTCGTCCCCATCGTGAACCTCTCTGCTGCTGCGAGCTCCTCGCACAAAGGCGTGCAGAGTAACTAGGGCAAGTTGGTCGCTGAAGCCGCAAGTGCCGCAAGCTTGTAAGAAAAGCTGGCCATGTATGGAATCTCAGACACAATCTGCGCAGCCAGAACTTCGTACGCTGCGAAAACTGCAAGCTATTGCAAGCCTGGCAATTACAAGCACGCCTTGATGGAGAGCACAAAGGCATCTCGGCCTCGCTGTGACAGCTTGCATGCTGCCTTGTAATTGGAGAACTTGAACCCTCCACGCTCCACACCAAGCAAGCGCATGTTGGCATGTTGCATTCGAGCAACGCTTCCGCTCGTCGCGGTAGAAGTCGGCCTGGGCTTTGTTTTTGAGATCCACGTCCTTGGTGGCTGCCAACCTGCCAGCAAGGCACCAAGCGCCAAGCGCTGTGACTCCATGAATGTATCTGACGAGCCTCAGCTCCCGCATGGAAGCCCAAACGCGAAGAGCCTCGATTGGTGGCTCCTCTTCCTGCGTTTTTGCTGTGAAGCGAGACCGGCTGAAGCAAGCCATAATTTCGTCTGCTCTAGTGGTGCACTTGTCCCGGTCTCAGGGGCTCATGATAAAATAACATCTCAAAGCCTCAGCCCTGCAAGTCCACAGAAAACAAGCCCTCCGAAGGGGGAGGATCCCAGTGGTTCCGTCCTGCAGCTCGTCCCGCCTAGCCAGAACAGCTGCTGCATCCTGCAGGACCAAAGTGCTGTCGAACAGCAATGCTTTGGGCATCTCTGGGGTGGCCTTCCATCGCATTCGCGGTCTTCTGAGCTCGGGGTCCGTGGCCATGAGCCGCTGAAGCCGCACAACGCGCTCCTCGCAGTCAGGGACTCCGCAAAGAAACTGAGCAAGGAACTGGTAATGAGTCTTCATGTCTTCATACTTCACCTGGTGTGCCTAATCCTTGTCCCATCCGATAATCAAAACACGATGCCAAGAACCCTCTTACCCTAAATGCTCAAGCCCTCGCCTCCCAAAAAGGGGCACCTCTCTGTGAAAGCTTGAGTTCCCAAACTCTGACATTAGGGGTTATTGAAAAAATTGCGCCTTCTAGGCTACATTCTGTGTGACTGACAAGTATGAACCTATGAACATTCACCATAGGCTATCATTGCGCGTAAAGGTCCAGTTCAAGGTTCTGCAATCCTCTCCATATATTTCCCTCGATGCTTGGGTCAAAACTGCCCAGAAGCACTACTCTGAACCCATAGTCTTTAGATGTCTTTAGAGTACATTGCAAGATCCGCGCAGCTCGGCGCTCCGCACGCTTGTCTGCGCGCGCTTTCTGGTGCTTCTCCTCAAGGCGCTCCATAACCTCAAGGGCTGGAGAGCTAGTTGAACTTGTATGCATCTTTGGAGCCGGCGCACGCTAATCAGGCTTCTGCATAAATGCCAGCCCAACCCAGGACCACAGGTATATGACTGGGATAAGTCCAGTGCGAAGATATGGTCCCGCCCTTCAATAATGTGGGGGAGATAACTTTTGCAAAGCCGCTGCTTTCTGCAACAGATTCTTGAGAAGGCCGGGCTGTTTAGTCTACATCGGAGTTCTGGTTTGGATTGTTGAGCTTGCAGTCATTTCTCGATCGAAGGGCTTCCACTGCTACAGAAAAAGAATCACTTTACATGAGGAGGGCTTCGCAGCAGGCTGTGTCAAGCCACTGTCTGGAACACCTCATCTCGGCGGACATCAGATTTGATCAGGGTCCATGCCTGGCCAGCTGTCACATGCATTCTAAACAGCCATAGAGCCCGGAGGAATCAAGGGTCTGTGGCGAATGCTAAAACGTCAGCGAAGCCTCTTCGTCGCCCAGGATGCTCGCTGCCTCCTCATAAGTTGTGCCTGAATGTAGGGGGTCAAGTGACGAGTCTTCCAAGGGCCAATGGCATGAGCTTGTCACTGCAGAAGACAAGAGCTGTGCCTAAAGCATCCGGATCTGCGAAGCGCTCTTCAACCAGCCGCTCGAGCGCCAGCGCGGCGTTGCGTGCTTTGGCCCGCGCCTCTGCAAAAGACTGCCCCAAGCACCAACTGGTGAAACCGGGCTTTGTGAAAACCCAGGCCCTATTGCTACAAAGAGCCGGACTTGGAAGCCAACCCCTCGATTGCATCATCCCTTTTCCCGGTTGCAGCCTCTGTCTCGCCCCTCTTCAAGGCTATGCTCAGCAGCTCCTAAGATGGCAGCTGTACTGCAGCTTCTGAAGCAATCGTGATCTGGTACAAGGTAAGAACATCACGTCTTCATGTCTTCTGCAGTTTCGGAATGGAAATTGGCAAGTCATTGCCAAGGATCCGCGAAGACTTGCTTCTGGACTTGCTCACCTCATGGCACAAGCTTGAGCCCGGGCGGGGAATGTCGTGAATGCATTCCGCTTGCTCAACAACCAGCCCAAATTGGGAACCTCGGGGCTTCTCAGGCCAGGCCACTAACACCTTCGGTCTCTGGGGCATCGCGGGCGAGGTCTTGGACCCTCCGCCAATCCCAGGTCGCCTGAGGCGGTGCAGCTCATGAAAAGATTTCATGACTCCAACAGCATAGTGAAAATGGTCCAGAGCTGAACTTCTGCAGCATTTTCCCAGGTAGCTATACGGGTCGTATAATTACATGGTGCACGCTGAGTCAGTGCTCGCACTGGTGCTGCTTGAGTGCGTCGACTCCTCGCTCTTTCAGGAATTCCTGGACAGGACTTCATCCAGCTACATTCGCTCAGCCTTACCGATGCACTTGGCCGGCTGGAACGCAAGCAATGTGCAAAGTTTGCAGAAGAATGCTCTCAAGGTGTGACTCCCCTAAGCTCGGCATGATGACTTGCCTTTCTTCAAGCCCCGCAATGTACACTCCACTTCCCGTTCTGCTTCATGGTTCGCACGGCCCAAGTGTCCTGGAAAGCTTGCCGTTGCTCCGCGCGGGTTTCTGGCAAAGGCCGGTCATCAAGTCCGGTGCTCTCACCCCGGAGCTTTCGCCTCCGTGCAGAGCAGCTGCCCTTCTTCCTGTTGCAGCCTTCATATCTTTATGCAATCCACCTCGTCATATGGAGTATCAACAGGAAGCACCCCCACTTCGAAGACTGATTGAGGTGGCACAGGCTGGGAGTGAGATCTGAGGGTCCGTGCAGCTCTGGCGGCATGCTCCAGCAGCTAACTTTTGTCTCCTGCGGCGAGTCTGAAACCCTGTGGCATCGCGTGTGTACGTGCACGTGAGAGCTTTGGCCTTATTGTGATAGAAGATTCGACCATCCCAAATCCTTGGCGGATGAAAGACCAAAAGAAGCCAAAACGTGACACAATCATAACGCAACCACTTTGGGTGTTTTTTTTGCCAGTCCAGTCGCCGATACTGCTTCCAGGCGGTGGAGTTCACGATGCGCTCGCTGTCGGTCATCAGCGAATCAGGCTTCTCCCATTGCGACACCCCGGTCTCCTGAGCTTGGTCTAGATACGATTTAAGTCCACTACAGAGCGATTTTGGGGCTTTTGAAAGGTGGAGTATTGGATCTTGAAGATCTCTGACGTCCTCGTTGTGGAAGAACTTGCGGCCATCGCCAGTCTGATGCTCGCTCCAGCCTTGCTCACTGCCACCGGTGCTTTGCCTCGTGGCCAGGAGCAAGGGGCCAGGCTCCCATCACGCTGATAAGCATGGGCCTCAAACTCTACCTCTGCAGCCTGCACTTGTCTGCATGGTCTGGTAGATCATTTGCCACATACGAAAGACACATGGAATCCAACCACCGTCTCATGCTAACAGGTTTGGTTGAAGATTTATGATGTGAAATCCGGGCTGCAGCAGCTGTCGCTGCAGAAGTGCCGCCGCAGCGGCGCCCGCAGCGGCAGCAGCAGATGGTGCTGCCATGGGCCCTGCAGGAACAAATCAGTCCGCGATATGAGGAAATGTGTTCGGCTCTCTCGAGCCAACATCATTTTTCTAGATTTTGCGGAATCCTAGGTCCTCCCGACAGTAATGAAGAAATAGGAAACCTTTCATAAGTCCACTTTGACTGTTTCAAGCCCGCATGCGACCAAAGCCAAGGCATGGCAAGACCACGTCGTGAATTCCGACAGTGACTTGGCGCTTTTTGAGTGGAGAAACAGAGTTGCAGGAGCAGGGCTGGACCACCGGCAGGTACTCCACAATGAGGCGCTCAACATGGTCCAACCCGTTTCCGAGATATTATGGATTGTGAATGACTGGATGCCGCGCATCACATGTTGAAAGTTGTGCGGTCTCGAATCCCAAGACCGCCTAAACAACGCTGTACAAACGCTACTTTGTGCTTTTGCTTAGGGAAAAGATACTTGGCACAACACCAAGTTTGGAGCATATCACCTGGCATTCAGAATCTATCCTTCCATCCACTGCTCCAAACACTGAGAAGTGCCTGGCAGGATCAGCTACGAAAGGCTCTCACAAGGATGCAATGGCAGCATCCATGAACTTGCTCTTCTGGGCCTGAGCGAGACCAGCTGACCTCACACCACTCCAGCCTGCAACCTTCTGCAACTTATGCAGTTTCAGTGTTGATCAGCTCATGGGATTCTTTGCTGTGTACTGCCCTGCGACACGTATATTGGACGGCTGCCCATGGGCTCCGCTTTGACGTACCACTGCTGGACTCAGCAAGTGCCTGGTTCAAGGTCTGAAGCTCGATCAAGCCACGCCTCAGTGTACCCATTCATGAGACCTCCCTGCTATGGGTCCGAGTCCAGTTGTTGGGCTGGCCAGTTCACATGCTGGCTACTTCTCACAATCGCCGGATCATCTGTACTGGCCATTGCTTCAAGGTTTTTGGCTTTGGTTGCTAAGCCCTACACGGTTTCTCTCAAAACTGAAGCCGTTCTGAAAAACTCAAGAACAATGAGCTAGTCGACCTAGTGCCGCTCAGTAGCTCGACGGCTTCTTGACTGATGTAAGACTCCAAGCGCTCCGCGGCGCTCTTCTCCATGTCCTCAAACGGCAATTTGCACTGAGTAGCCCCTCCCCTGTGCACAATTGTGGATTGATCCGTTTCAGTCCGACATGACACTACGTTGTCCTTCAAAGACGCCTGCGCGCTCCTCTCCATCTGGGCCATTGATGCCTGAACGCATCCCTATGAAACCGGAAACTGCCATCTAGCTCAGCTTTTGTGGCATCCTTCATAATTTGGGCTTGGTATGGCTTGGCAATCTAAAGCAACCTCCATCTTCCCTCCACCCAGGCGGCCTATGTAGGCCTATAATTTTCCCACAGGTAACATCAGGTAACCTTTGTGTTTGATCTGAAGGCAGTTCCTCCGATGTCTGCCAGATGCAGACACCTCCCCGACGGGCTTCTAGTACTTTAGAAGCTCGCTACCCTACACCCCGGTGAAACGTAGGAGAAACGGGAGGACAAGGTGTTCACACCTTGCACCCTGCGCGCAACACAACCCCGGCGGCCACACGCACCTACGAATTGGCGATCTCAGCATGGACGGCTGCCCTGTCACCAGCTTCAAGATGCTACAGGCTACGGGTAGGAGTATTGACTGAACACTCATCAGGCAGTGGGTCCACGGATCGGCAGGCCAATTAAAGCAAATTGTTGCAAAGCTGGCTCAGGCGCTGCAGTTTACGCAGCTGTATTTGGGGCCTTCGGCCTTCAGCGCTTCAATGGCCTCAGCTGCATGTCTAGAAGCAGCGGCCTGCTCAATTCACATGCTTCAGTACTGGTGAAATTGGAACCTGCGCCGCCTTCTCTTGCAGCCAAGGAGCAGAGGCCTCCAAGCCTTTGGCAGGGGACACGGCCGTGGACACGGCCGTGGAGGCATCCGAGTCAGAGGCCAAGGTTTTCTCAGACCTTGGGCTTAGCGGCTTAGCGAGTTCAGGCTACCCCGCCTTGGTAGTTTGTGTACGCTCTCAGGCCTCGCAGTCTTCGTGAGCTTTTGTACATCCACTGTGAACTTGATTGCGTCCGCCGCTGCCTTCGTTCGGAGGTAGTACAGGCCTGTCTTCAAGCCTTCGCGCAGAGAGCACGCCCATGTGACTGCAACTGTCAATCATGTCATGTTGCTTTGACTGGTCTGCAGTAGCTTACCCAACGGCAATCCCCCTTGCGTCACAACCTGCACAGCAAATATGTTATGCTGAGTCTGCAGGAGCGTCCCGGCCTAGCTGCCAGCCATGGAAGTGCATGGAGGATAGCTTGGCTGTGGTCACATCGGTCATGTGGATGTTCAAGGACTGCGACTGATCGATGTAAGCACCGCGGTCACCAGCCATGTCAAGAACAACCTTCTGCCTGATCTCCCAGACTGTTTTGTACAGCTCCTTGATGTCCTGCGGCAGATCCAAGTTCTGCACGCTGCCGTTGTGGGCAACCAGCTGCACACGGAGCTCCTCGTTCCACATGCCACGCTGGATGAGGTCCTTGAGCAGGTGTCGGTTCACCTGCACGAACTCGCCGGAGAGCACTCGCCGGACATAGAGGTTCTGGGTGTAGGGCTCGAAGGACTCGTTGTTGCCCAGTATCTGTGCCGTGCTGGCTGTGGGCATGGGTGCCACAAGCAAAGAGTTTCGGAGCCCGTACCGTGCGATGCGCACCTTGAGGCTGGCCCAGTCCCAGCGCCCACTGCGCGGCTGGCGGTTCCACAAATCGTGCTGGAGAAGGCCTTTGCTAGCGGGGCTGCCTGCAAACGTCTCATAGGGGCCTGAAGCCTCCGCCAGCTCACAGGAGGCCTCGCAGGCGGCAAAGTAAATCGTCTCGAAGATATCTTCGTTCAGGCGCCTCGCCTCATCGCTCTCGAAAGGCAGCTTCATAATCAGGAACGCATCTGCCAAGCCTTGCACGCCCAGGCCTATGGGCCGATGCTTGAGGTTGGAGGTTCGCGCCTCTGTGACCGGGTAGTAGTTGCGGTCGATGACCCTGTTCAGGTTCCGCGTCGCCACCTTGGTCACCTGGTAAAGCTGCTCAAAATCATACGGTCCCTCTGGACGAGCGAAAGCTGGCAGGGAGATGGACGCGAGGTTGCACACTGCTACTTCGTCGGGCGAGGTATACTCAATGATCTCTGTGCAGAGGTTGGAGCAGTGGATCGTGCCCAGGTTCTGCTGATTGGACTTGCGGTTCGCGTGGTCCTTGTACAGCATGTAGGGTGTGCCAGTCTCCATCTGCGATTCCAGAATTCGGAACCAGAGTTGCTGGGCCTTCACAGTCTTGCGGCCCTTACCCTCAGTCTCAAGGCGACTGTACAGCTTCTCGAACTCCTCCCCCCAAACATCCATCAGCCCCTTGCCAGTCTCCTCATCATAGGCCTCATTTGGGCAGAAGAGCGTCCAGTCTGCGTTGTCTTTCACGCGCTTCATGAAGAGGTCTGGGATCCAAAGCCCGTAGAAGAGGTCCCGAGCACGCTGCTCCTCCTTGCCATGGTTCTTGCGGAGCTCCAGGAAGTCGAAAACATCAGCATGCCAGGGCTCCAAGTACATAGCGAAGGAGCCCTTCCTCTTGCCCCCGCCTTGGTCCACATACCTGCAGGGAGCCCTTGCTATTGATTTGCGGAAAACTACCCTTTACCCAGCTCCATCCAGCTCCTAGCCTGGCAGTCTCATTGAAGTTGCGCAGCATGGGCACGAGGCCGTTACTGTGGCCGTTGGTTCCCCTGATGTAGGAGCCGCTGGCCCGGGCGTTCGAAATAGCCACGCCGATCCCACCGGCAGACTTGGAGATGGAGGCGCACTGCTTCAAGGTGTCGTAGATGCCTTCGATGCTGTCGTCCTTCAACTTCAGTAGGAAGCAGGAGGACATCTGAGGCTTGGGGGTTCCGGCATTGAAGAGGGTCGGCGTCGCGTGCGTGAAGAACTTTCGTGACATCAGGTCATACCTGAGTACAGTAGCATGCAGCTGCACAAGACCATGCCAAAATCGTGCAGAACAACGTTAAAGGATTCGATGCCGCTGTCCTTAGGGTCTATCGAATTGGCATGCCAACCTCTTCTGCCTGGCTGCGTCTCCAAGGCTGCCTTCAGGTCGCCTGTGTGGATACCGCAGGCTGCACGCATGATCATGTGCTGCGGTCTTTCCACAATCTTGCCATGCACGCGGAGGAGGTAAGACTTCTCCAAGGTTTTGAATCCAAAGTAATCGTAGTTCAAATCACGTTGGTAAACGATGGCAGAATCCAAAGCCTCTGCATTCGCCTGGACAAACTCAAAGACGTCCTCGGCCAGAAGGGCTGCGGGGCGGCCCTGCGCATCCACGTAGCCATGCAAGACCTTACAAGTCTCATGGAATGAGTCTGAGGTGTTCTTGTGCAGGTTCGACACAGCGATCCGTGCAGCAAGAGTGGAGAAGTCTGGGTGCTTCTGCGACATATAGGCGCAGGTCTCCGCGGCCAAGATGTCAATCTCCGACGTGGAGATGCCGTGGTAGAATCCCTCTACCACTTTCTGAGTCACAGGCACCGGGTCCACAAAGCGGGGGTCCAGGCCCTCACAGAGATTGCGGATGCGCCGGGTGATGGCGTCGAACTTCACCTCCTGCTTCTCACCATTCCTCTTCACCACGAACATGGGCGCCATGGGGCACAAGGAATGAGCGCAGAATGCCAAAAGCTCTCTCCCAAAGGCAAGCCAGCCAAAATGCTTACTTGAGAACACGAATCGTGTGAATGATGTGTGCACCAGCACGGGTCCCAGCGTGCTGGGAGATAGATCTGCTTTCTCAGGCATGCAGTGAGCAAAAACAAATTTCTACGACATGCGTTGCCTCAGCGCTGCTTCGAATAGTGTTCTGAAACTCTGCGATGTCCTGGCTTTGACATGCCAGGCGCACCCCGGGCGCTAATTCAGGGCTAGAGTCCAGTGATTTGGGAGATTATGAAAGTATCTGGGCCAAGAGCTATTCAACTTGAGGTGGCCTTCAGCTGGAACATGAGGAAGAATCAAGACAAATGAGCAGCCATCTGTTGTTGCTGTCCTTGGCTACATTGGCGTTGATCTCCTGCACCACCTGGCCACGGCAGCTCAATCAAACCTGCCTATGGCGTTTTGGCTGCAAAGCACAGCATGGCAGCACGTTTCACGAAACACGTGGATAGTTCCCCAAGGCACATGTTCCTTTCGGCGCTGTTGACAGTCCCAGCCGTGCCTGCATGGCCTGTGCCTGTGCCTTCTTGGCTTCGGCGAGGCGCGCGCTCGCCTCCATGAAGCAGGAGCTGGAGTTGAATCTCTCGAAGCAGCGCTTGAATCTCCGCCTCATTATACTTGGCAATGGCATCTTCAATGTCCTTAGTTTTGTTAGCAGTGCAGCTATGGCTGGCTTGAACTGAAACTTCTGAAAGCTTTCTGATTACCAGGTCTTTCTTGTTACCGTTTAGCTGCTACCCGCCCAGTCTCAGAGTGAATCTCCTTCTCCCTCGCGGCCATGGACTCGCGAAGCACTGGGGCCAGCAAGTAGAGCAAACCTGGCAGAGCGAGTGTGTCGGGAAGCTTTTGAATTTTTGGAGCTTGAGGTTTGGATCTGAGTCGCTTGAGAGTCAAATCCTTCAGCATAGGCTGGCTACATTGCCTGAATGTGCAGGGAACCTCCGATGAGCAGGGCAATGTTGACGAGGTTCGTCTCTGGTAGGTTTAGGTTCAAGCCAAAACCACCACCGAGCTCCACCTGCAGATGAAAACCGATTGTGAGGCCAGCCGTTTCTGGCAGAACTTGCCTTGGCAGATACCCAACTTCATCAAAAACATTGTATTGGGTGGTAAGGCGGAGTACTGTCCACGGGTCACGAAAGGCCTAAGCCTGTACTGCTTATTCCTGTGGACTAGCTGGCCAGCAATGACGCCTGTGTCTATGGACACTGCGGCTTTGTTCAAAACCCGTGTCATGAGATCTCTGACACCCAGCCTTGCCAAAGTCAAGCAGCCCATCCTGACAAAAAAGTTGATCTGTGATTGGCCAAGTCACATACTAAGCATGTCCTTTGCAAAACGAGAAATCCTTGAGTATGGGTGAACTCTGGGTTTGTAGAAAATGCATGCAGCAGAGCTGATTGCTGATCACCATGCTATCACCACTTACATGTGCTGCTTGACCTTGCGCATGGACCCCAGACAATACCGACTTCCGACTTGGCACGCTTTCTCTGGGATATTGCACACAGAGGATGAAGTCACCACCGTCCATGAAAGCTCGAAGGGCGCTGTCTGCCTCCGCCATGGCTGGCGCAGCCGCCAACGGCGTGGTCACCAGGACTGCTGTCGCGGGTCGCACTTGCCTTCACAGTCTGTCTGACGCTTAGATACTGTGAGGAAGGCAAGCTTGCCAAGCTACCCACACTCCATGCCCTGATAGCAGATCATAGCAAGCTCCAACACTGCGGAAAGTGAATCGTCATCAAGTGCCACACGACTAGAGCCCCCACCCTGCAGCACCTTGCAGAGATGAACGATTGACTGCAACTCCACGCGGCCAGTGCCATGGTGGCCAGGGCGGCTAGGCTGAAAGTCCTGCGCTGCATTGCCGTGGAGGCAGCCTCAGGAAGCCAAAGTTGCAGTCCATCAAATGGTACACAGGCTACAGAGCAAGGTGTTCATTAGCTGCACAGCCCCGTGGCTTTTCAATTTCAAGCACCGCGTCTTTGACAAAGCATTTCTGCATTTTGCATGCTGGAAACAACCTCAGCACCTGGACGAGCATATTGCTGATTTCAGTTCCCTGAATTCATGCCGGGGCACAAGAAGCAGAACAAGGGCCGAGGCTTGGCGCGACCAGCAGCTTGAGGTCAAGAAATGCGACAGTCAGCTACTGGGGCAGCAGGTGGCAGCTTAGCTGAGGAATGGCTCCTATTCTGTCGTGACATGTGCAGAACCCAGAGCGTGGCAGTGCATGGCGCAGAGCATGGGCTGTGGGCCTCGGCGCTCCAAGGCGCTTTGGGCCGCTCCGCGAGCCTTGGCCTCTATAAGGCCCTTCCAGTTTTCTGAAGGCCAGAAAATGTTGCGGTGAAGAGAGAGAAGCAAGCTCCAGACCGAAGACATGGTTGGTGCTTTGTCAGAGAACGGTTCAATTCAACAACTTGTGCAAACCGGTGTCATGGATGCAACATGCCGTGCACAGTGGACGACCTGGGCCCAGCACTGATGAGCTCTCCTTTGTTGCGCCCTTCTTGCTTCAAGCATGGATCATGTACCATGCGGCCATCGTGGGCCCTCTATGTTCGAGGTGGGCACGACGTCCAAGCACTAAATCAACTCAGCCCGTCCATGAAGGGGACAATGTCACTAGGCCAGGTAACGCGATTACTTCTACGCATAGCCGATCGCATGTCAACTAACTGCTGGGAGCCAGATGTTCAAGCATCTACTTTGATGCTTCAACTGACCCAGCTCCACACAGGTCTGCCAGGAAATCATCTGAACAGCTGTTTCTGCCACTCACGGTCACAAAGCATGCAGCTTTGCACATCGCTTTGGCCAGCCTTGCGTAGGCAGACAAGCTTGGAATGCACCGCTTAGAGCAAGCATAGGCTAACCCCCACACCTCATACCCTATACCCCCCCCTACAGTTTCACCCCATTTCTCAACCCGCCT